CATGATGTAGCATTCTGACATGGGGCAGGGGACTATGCAGGCTGGGTGTTCCTGGTGGGACTGGCGGACAGGCAACCAGAAGAGAATCCTAGGCACAATGGAAGCCCCTTCTTAGCAAATGAACCTAGTCTAATCCTGACATCACCTCAGATGGATTGACAAATCTTTCATCCAAGGAAAAGTAGCATGTGGACCCAGGTACTATCTTGTTTCTCTTGGTAGGGGACTGGAAGGTGATGGATCTGGTAAAATTACTGTCGTTAAGAGAGCACAGCCTTTCTACTACCCTGGCACATAGGATTACTTTCCTAAAGAACAAATGTCCACTGTCACTTGGATTCAACACTCTCACTATCTTCTTTTCTTTCCCACTCTCCCTCCCCCTCCCTCCCTCCTTTCCTCCCTCCTTCTTCTTCCCTCCCTCCGTTTCCCTTCCTCCCTTCCCCCCTCCCTCCCTCTCTCTGTCCTTGAGTCTCCTGTTTGGCTGTGCTGCCTGGCTTGCCTGCTCTTCTTGGCTTCGGAGTCAACTCCATATCTCTAAGAAATTGAATTTATATCTTAAACCTCCAGTGTGTGACTCAAGTGTGCTGCTTGTCAATTCTTAGAGCCAGAGCCTGTTCCTGTGCCCATGTGGAAGCAGGCATTGAATACAACATATTTTCCTAAACTGTTTCTACCTATGTTTACCAGAAACACTTGCTTTTGCAGCATACTTGCTCTTAATTAATTGTTTAAAGTCTATATCCTTAGAGATAAGATGGGAAATCTTTACTTCACGTGGCAGAGAACAAAACAATTATCCAGCAAATACTACATTCCTGCAATTAATTATAGCCTCTATGTACAGTTTAAATAAAATTTCCACCTTCAAAAAATGGAAATCTTTAATTGTGTGAAACTGTAGCAGCCATAGCCAAGGAGGCTCACATATGTAAGTTTGAACACAATGTCTACCCAATTTCAGTTTTCTCTTTCTTCTATTCAGTGCTTCTATTTCTTTCCCCATGAGTTCTTGTGATTTAACAGAGGGATTTGTAATTCCTCTGCACTTTTTATCTTAGCAAACCATCCATCACCAGCCACACTTGCAGTTTCATTTAGATTAGAGGTTTCCATTTGGATGTATTTGGGGGGAAAAATGTCAGAGCATATGTATTTCATAGTGCTCTATGGGAAATGTAATAGCCCTGAGTGGAACCCACTGATTTTCTTTAGCATTTTGATTATATGGGTCTATGAGTTCAGATGAATCAAAGTAAAAACGAAACTCAGCAGGCATGATGAAACCAACCAAGTCTACTGAAATGGTTGGGAAGAACCCACAAAAATGATTTCCTTCTCTGAAACTAAGGGATAGAACTGAGACCTAATTGAAGAGACATCTGGGAGCATCCATCATTCGGCTTCTCAACTGGAGAAAGACATTGTTCAACAATGGAATTCGATTTTCTAAATGGTAGTTCTGAATAGGCCTCAGTGAACAACACAAAATAAGTTAATCTCTATAAAAGCTGGGATAAATGTGCTACAGTATGTTTTAAATTACGTGAGGTTAACTCGTCCTCCCACATCATTTGTGCTAACTGATGTGGTAAGTGAGCCTTGTGATAAAACCCAAGAATGTTTCTAAGACATTGTAATCAAGTGCTGGTACAGGGAAAAGAGTGGAGTTAGGAAAACTATGCTCACTTTGCTTTTCTATTCCCGGCTCCATCTTCCCTCTGGGCGGTTGGGTGCTCAGGAATTTGTTGTGCATCTGCTATTTTCAAAGAAGCATTTTGTTCATTTGTACTACAGAAATGCTAATATTTGCTGTCCCCATTTCACACGGGTGGGGATGTGAGTATCCAAGGAGAGCAGACATGTGCAAAACCAGAACACTTCAGCGCTCCATTCCAGAGCATTCTTAATCATGTGTAGGGCTACAAGTACTGACTACAGATTACTACCTGGACAGGTAGTAATTACTACCTGGACAGTTCTCTGATGTCTGGGGAACGGGGAAATCTCTCTCCCCGCCCCCACTCTCACACATACAACCCTCCCCCCCACATTCATTGTATATAATTGCAATTAAATAGTGAATTTGTCTTTCTTTTTATTATGCATCAGGTAAAATAAGATTCAGCCAGGTATGGGTGGCTCATGTCCACAATTCTAGATACTCAGGAGACTGAGATCTGAGGATCAGAGTTGGAAGCCAGACCAGTCAGGAAAGTCCATGAGACTCTTATATCCAATAAACTAATCAGAAAAAGCTGAAAGTGGTGTTGTGGCCCAAGTGGTAGAATGCTAGCAATGAGTACAAAGAGGCTCAAGGACAGCAACCAGGCTGAGTCCAAGCCCCAGGACTAGCAAAAAAAAAAAAAAAGTGAGATTCAGGAATTAAGACACAATCAGAAAGGAAAGCTGAAGACCAATAAAATAGCAAGCATTTCTTCCATCACCCTTCACTTATTTTAGATGTTAAATAAGGTTCATTCTCCTTGGGTAGGTAAGGGGCCATGAGATACAGGGGATATCTGACAAATGAATCCCTTAACATGATAACCCTTTGTCTCCATGTTTTGAGTAATAATAAGATCTAGACCCAGTTTCTCCATGTTCAACTGGTAGCAAACCAAGAGCTTAACAACAACAACAAAAAGTTAAAGGTTTTCTAGGTGAAATGAGCCCAAGTGTCCAAGTGGGAAGCTCAAGTTGGGCTCTATTTTTTAAATTTAAATTTAAATTTTTTAAAATTATTTTTTTTGCCAGTCCTGGGGCTTGAACTCAGAGCCCGGGCACTGTCCCTGAGCTTCTTTTGCTCAAGGCTAGCACTCTTCCATTTAAGCCACAATGCTACTACTGGCTCTTCCTGTCACAGAATTCAAGGTCATGATTCATAAGGGCATTGGGAGGCTGAACCTCTGGCCTTGTTAGAGATCTGCTCATTTCTTCCTGGGCCCAGGGACAAGGTTATGGAGCTCTCACACAGACAAGTGTTCATCCTATATCCTGATGATGTTTCTAGAAACAGCAGGCTTGGAATAGACATGCAAATGGATATTGACCACTCTCCCTCTCTTCTCTTTTCAAAAATAAAGTCCACCTGAAATGTACCTTTTATTACTCCTTTCTTGAACATCCACTGCAATACCTTCATATCAGAAAATCTAATATTAAATTGTGTTTTTCCAATATTTTTTCATGTGTACTTCTCAAACATGATTTGGACTTCCTTCTTTTTATTTCCCAGAGTACCTAGCAGAGTGATAGATAGAAAAAAATAGACCCTTGATAAATTCTTCCTGAGGACTTAGGTATTGATTATGAAAAATCAACCTAAGTCAGGTAGAAAACAGTATACTCCAACATATAATATTTAATATTATTTGGGCCTTACCTTAAGATTAAATATTACCCCTTAATGAAAGTTTGCAGAAGTGAGATTTTGTAAGTAAATTAATTAATACTTAAGGGGACCCTTTCTCTAATTCAGAGAATTAGAATCAATAAACCAGAGTTATTTTTCATTACATGCTAATATGTAATTGTGACATCACAAAATTAATTTTCATCCTATGATACACAAGAGCCTAATTGTAGAGAACATCATAGCCCACCTCTCCACATATTTGTTAAAATATGCCTATTGATTATTATTTTATGTCAATATTCTTTCTTAAGCACTTAGAATTAAAGGTGTTTTTTTTTGCTGCACAGTTCTAATAAAACTGACCAGTATTACCAGTATTACTATTCAATGAATGCATGATTACTATCCTTTGATCAGGTGGTGTTTTCATTCTCTCACTGCCAGAATGGATGTCAGTACAAACCCCACCTTTCTTCTATATTCTGTTCCTTAATTGCAGACAGCCTCCATTTACTAAGTTGTGAACTGTCATGATTACCTTGCTTAGGACATGGGCTGGTGGCAACTATTTATTACGAAGTTGGCCAAATTCTCCCTTGATTTACAGAAGTAGTAAAACCATTCCATCTCACCCAATGCTTTCCTAGGAGGAGGAATTCAAATCCAGGCACTAAAAGTCTTTCTCGGGGCCCCAGGAGGCACTGTGTCTCACGGGGTGTTCTCAGCTAAGAAAATGGAGAGGCTTGCCTGAGGTCTCTGGGCCAGCCAGTTATTCGGGGCATGGAAATCTAGGTCTCCCAATGCCTGGCACACAAGCACAAAAAGCATAGAACTCCCAGGAGAATCGCCCAGAGTCACGGGCGCAGAGGAGAGAGGGGGAAATGAATCCCAGGATGCTCACTGCAGAATCCCCATGGCAACCTCTCCCTGCTTCCCTCCCAGCACACATAAAGCACACCGAAGGGAATCAGACAACATAAAACCCTAATGGTGCCCTTAATTAGGCAGGGCCATCACTGCTAACCCCCTCACCTCCCACCGACCGCTGGAGCAGCCCCCAGCTCCTCTCTCCTTGTGGCCAACACTCACAAGCAGGAAGAAGCAGTTACAGCAAACAATCTTTGAAGGGACCATCAAGTTTTGATGATGATGAAGTTTGATAGCAATAATGTCAAACTTTATATGGCCATAATCCAAGTTTACAATGATACATTAAACCATAATGCTACTATTTATATCGCCATAAACCGTGTTTTATGGCGATATAAATAGTCACGCTAATGGCATTAACGGCAGCACTCAGTGGAATCCCAGCTGTTGACTGGTGCACTGATGCTATTAGCATCGCTATTTATATTACCATAAACCTAGGTCGTCAAACTTGTGACATGGGAACACACAAGGAAGACGGATCTCCACTTTTTATGTCTGAGTCTCTGTGCCAGAGAGTTGATGCTCACTGCTCTCTTCTGGAATAAAGGTCTGTCTCACTCTCCATTTGGCTCTGCTTCTGTCATGTGATATTTCTACTACAGACACGGATGCCAATCTGCCGATCTGTTTCTTACATCATTCCAGGAGCCTGGAAACATCATTCACACTGGATAAGAAGGTGCAAGCCAGAGCAGCTGGCCGAACTTACTGTCTCCTTGGCACCGCAAGGGACCCACGCTCAGTTTGGCTTCTGAGCCTTGCCGGTCGGTATCTCCAACGACCACCTGGCTCACTGGCAGGTGATCTTTGTACGATAAGAAGCCAGCATCCTTCCTCCTGAATCAGAGGGAAAAAGAGAAAAGGATGATGAGCTGGAGTCAGAATCCCACATTTCCTCATCATTGCTTATGCCCTCCTCCATGCCATTTCAGCAACGGTTCAGAAAGTAACTGAGGAAGAAGCTCAGCCAGAGCTGTCCAGTCCAACCTCAGTGATCTCACGGTAAATGGTTTGGAAGCAACTCTGGTGCAGTCCTCTTCAGAAAATACAGAACCGCCAATAACACTTCCAGAATTCACAACCAATATGTGCTATACTACGTTAGGTTCAAAGTAATCAAAGCACAGGCTCCAAACACCAAATGGACATGCAGAGTTGATAGGTGAAAAAAAAAACCCCATGAAAACACCTATGTCTCCTTCAAAACCCTTCTTTAGGGGCTGTGTTCTCTGTTGTGTATCAGTTAAATCAGAGCCATCTTCTGTTTCCCAATCCCTTCTTGAAACAGTTTAGGGAAGTTTCCAATATAAGTAAGTGCTCAATAAGTACCTATTTCTGTCTATCATGAGGAGCAGAGCTGAGATTCAAGCCCAGTTTGGTTTTCCTCCTAGAATTCATACTCTTTAACCCATACCTATCTTGTTTCAAGTCTCCCAATGAAGGAATAGAATAATGGTACTTGCAAAGGACTGCTAAGGAGTGCAGACACCTGGGTGAGGGAAATGCAATGTGATGGTTTTGTTTTGACGCAGAATAAAGGTCACATTAGAAGGTAATCTCTCGCCCATACCCTGTTTCCTCCTGCAGGGGCTAGTGAGGCTCTCCTTCTGGGGGCTGGATAGGTGGGAGACATAAACCAATGTGAAGTCACCCTGTTAGATGGTTTTTTTGTATGTATGCTGGTCCTGGGGCTTGAACTCAGGGCCTGGGTTCTGTCCCCGAGCAGTGTTTTGCTCAAGGCTAGCGCTCTACCTCTTGAGCCACAGCTCTACTTCCAGCATTTTTGGTGGCTTATTGGGGATAAGAATCTCATAGACTTTCCTGTTCCAGCTGGCTTCAAACTGTGATCCTCAGATCTGAGGATCCTCAGATCCTCCTGAGTAATTAGGATTACAGGCATGAGCCACTGGCACCTGGCTAGATGATGTATGTGTTATGTATATATGTTTTAGAATATATATGTATATATATATATACATTTACATATACATACACTATTCAGTCTGAATATAACTTCAAAAACTGATCTTGGATAATGGAAGAATGGGATGGATGGTTCGATAATGAGGTTAAAGTTTCAGCATTCATACCATTGGTACATACAGTGTGAAGAACTGAGGGAACTGACTTAGAAAACACTGTGTGTGCTGTCAGAGATCAGTACTTGTTGATCTGACCTTCTGGTATGTTCACTGACCTCAGTAAACACACTTTTCTTTTTACCTACTGCATTGTTGATGGGAGTGTAAACTTGTTCAACCACTTTGGAAAGCAGTATGAAGGTTCCTCAAAAGACTCCACATAGAGCTTCCCTATGACCCAGCAATCCCACTTTTGGGCATTTACCCAAATGATCACAAACGAGGCCATACTAAGGCTACCAGCACGACTATGTTTATTTACCATAGCTAAGATATGGAACTAACCCAGATGCACCTCAGTAGATGAATGGATCAAGAAAATGTGATATATATATATATGTATATATGTATACATATATATATATATATATATATATATATATATATATATATATATATATATATGAATTCTATGCCTCCATCAGAAAGAATGACATTGCCCCATTTGTTAAGAAATGGAAAGACTTGGAAAAATTTATATTAAGTGAAGTAAGCCAGGCCCAAAGAAACATAGGTCCCATGGTTTCCCTTATTTGCAATAACTAGTACATGTGTAGGACAAGCAGAAAAGGCCAAAAGCCATGTACATATGACCATATAAGATGATGTTAAGCAAAATGAACCTCAAGACAGGGACACAAATACTTTTTTTCTTTCTTGCTATTGTTTCTAACATACTTATAATGTACCATGTGATTTTTTTTTTGTTGCTTTGTATGTTCTTCCCCCACAATATAACCCCTGTTTTCACTGTATTTAATGTTGGTCCCTGTATCTTGTTTATACACTTCTCTAATTTGGGGAGGGGAAAGGAAAAAACAAAATGCTTAAATAAGGATACAGGTTGACCCATTGTAACAATGAGATGTACAAAACACTATGTTGAAAACGAACTTTACAATTTTGGTGGGTGGAGGGGGGGGGCGGTGGAGGTGGGAGGGAAGGGATGATAGGGAGAAAACAAAAGAGGAGGTAACAATGCTTGATAGGAAATGTACTCATTACCTTGCTCATGTAACTGTAACCCCCTTTGAACAGCATTTTTACAATAAAAAAACATACCTAAAAACCCATATGTTCCCTTATATACCAGGATACAAACCTAGAAAGGATACATAGAACTTAGACAGTGGTCCACAAAAGATATAATTTGCACTGTGTTAGCTGTTCCATTGTTTTTATGTTTCCAAAGTAAAGGCTTTAGAAGAAAAAAGTTTGCTAACTCTTGTTCTAAATCACCTCTGTCCATTTTCCTCTAGAAGTCTGTTGGGCAAATGTTCTGCTGACAGTTATGGTGGGCAGTGGTTCTGTAACACAAGTGTCCAATGTGGAATGGGGTAGATTAGGGAAGGGGACAAAAAACAGGGACGAGAATACACACAGAACACATGGAAAGAAACAATGCATACCTCCATTTGCTTATTGTATTAGTGAAAAGCAACTTAAATTGAATTATGATTGACTTTTCAATTCATCCTTTTCACTCACTGCCTGGCCAACAGTCACGCATCAGCCTTGGTGTAATAGATATCTACTGGGTAGAAAGATGTGAACTGTCATTGTTGAACCGAAGTCCAGCATCTGTCAGATAGCATGGGTAGTTTTATAAATGCAGGCTCTGTGAGTGTAAGGGTCTCCGTGTATTTCAGCAATGAAATGAATGATGGTCATCAAAATCTAAAGGGTTCAATGAATTTTTATACGTGTCTAAGCACCACATGGTATCTGTATATCTCTACACCCCAGAACACCTCTTTTTTCCCCCTACTAGTAGTCAGTACCCCTAAAGGTAATTATTTAATTCAATGTATTCAAAACCATTCATATATTTAAAGTATTGGGACAAAAAGTTGTGTTATTTTTCAATTTCATAAAAAGTATCAGTACATGACAACAAATGACACAGTCCTGTTGGCATTTGGGTTGTCTCTAGTTGTGTGGCTATTGTGTAAGGTCTCTGTTACCAACATTCACTTATGCTAGGCTTTTATCCACAAGTTAGGAATGCTGGGCCCTAAATTGGGTTTGGCTTTAGTGGATAGTTTCAAGCAGTTTCCCTAAGATGTTGTAGCAATTTACATGTCTAGCAGCAGTGTATGAGGATGCAGGTTACCCCAGGTCCTTGTCCATTTACCCTGAGCAGTAAAGTCACTGCTTTATAATGAGCCTTGGGTCAAGGTAAGAGTATTTTCAGAAACAAAAGTTTGGAAGTCGCTGGGCACCCAGTGGCTCACACCTGTAATCCTAGCTACTCAGGAAGCTGAGATTTGAGGATAGCAGTTCAAAGCCAGCCCCAGCAGGAAAGTCCATGAGACTCATCTCCAATAAACCCCTCAGAAACCTGGGGAACTGTGGCTCAAGTGGTAGAGCGCTTGCCTTGAGCTGAAGAGCTCAGGGACAGCGCCCAGGCCCAGAGTTCAAGCTCCATGATAGACCAAAAAAAAAAAAAAAGTTTGGTACTCTTCCAATCATTATGTCATTTTATTGCTTAAAGCAGCAGGTAAGTAACCTTATAGGAAAGGTCGCATCAATATACTTTTAGAACTTAGAAATGTAAGTTTTAAATCCTTATAATAATCTTATAAATACAGGCTTTAAGCACAGGGTTGAACCTCTGAAGTGTTCAATTATTTTGTAAGAAAAATGGATTCTTGTCAGAAACGACAGAAGTTTACAAGCTTGCTATGGTACTCAAGACTCTGAAATGGAGGGGGGGGGGGAGAGGGGGAGGAGGAGGGGTGGTGCGGGGAAGGTGGCTCAGTGGTAGAGTGCTCGCATGCATGAGGCCCTGGGTTCGATTCCTCAGCACCACATAAGCAAAAAGAAAAAAGCCGGAAGTGGCGCTGTGGCTCAAGTGGTGGAGCGCTTGCCTTGAGCTGAAGAGCTGAGGAACAGTGCCCAGGCCCAGAGTTCAAGCCCCATGACCACCACCAACAACAACAAAATAGAATCTGAAAGGGGATGATTGAAGATTCTACAGCTGCCTGGATTTTATCATATATAGGTCTTAAAATATCAACATCAACAACAACAAAACAATAACATTTATAAGATACATCTTATCAGTACATTCATGATTCATGTACATATTTATGCCTATCTTACTGACAGAAAGAATGAGAATTAGGGAATTTATTTTGGTTACTTCCTCATGGATAGCAGAGTCAAATTTGATGGTCTAAATCTGCTTCTGGACTATCAAAATCCTGTTCTGGGACTTTCTATTAAAAAATAAGGAAAGACTAAGCACTCTTCAAACCATTATGTTAATAAAAAAGCCATTAATTTTTTTTGTCATAGGTAAGGTGAAACAAAAGGTCATGAAAGCAAAATCTAGCTGCTCAGGAGGCTGAGATCTGAGGACCAGGGTTTGAAGCCAGCCCAGGCATTAAAGTCTTAACTAGAGCAAATCAGCAAAAAGCCTGAAGTAGAGGTATGGCTCAAGTAGTAGGCATTAGCCTTGAGCAGACATAAAAGCCTCAGTGCTAGAAAAGAAATCAAAAGGGGGCTACTTAGGGATGTGAAGGGGGAAAGAGAGAGGAGAGGAAACAAGAAGGAATAATAGCTGGGATGCAAGCAATTGTACATTTCACATATATGGAAATGTCGGAATGAAATGCTTTACTTGGTACAATTAGCATATGCTAATTAAAGATGAAAGAAGAAAAAATGCTTTTAGTGAGTGAAATGTTGAAG